TATTGTAATGACCCGAACCTCTGTGCCCGAAGTGTTATATCATACCTACGGTCCATTTTCACAGAGCCTCTACCTATCTTACCACATTGGTAAAAAAATTGAGTAACATTTTCTAATGAAAAAGACCAGTTCTTTAGTTCTAAAATATATCACTGAAATTCACAATCTATTTCATATGATTACATCCAGTCAACCTCAATATTAGCATGCAGCAAGTGTTCTGAACTGTTGAGGACAGGAAATCAGAGGTTAGGTCGGTTTGATTTTGATAGCCGGCTTTTCCTTCATTTTTTATTCAATTTTTTAATGATTGATAATGTCCCTTTAAAATCAAAGAATATTGAAAAGGTGCCTTCCTAGACCAATTAATCAATAACAGACACGATACAAGACTAGACATAAAGAACAGAAGACTAACAGCAACGTGATTAGATCATAAGCCCATGACACACATCCACTCAATCTAAAAACCAGAAAAAAAGGAAAATGCAATTTAGAAAATAGTGAAAAGAACGAAAAAGGAAAACCTGCATCCGACGCTGTGACTGAACATTTTCCCATGATCCAGTACTAACCATTCCTCCAGCACCAAGAGAAGGTACCTTACCACGCATTGCAGGAATAGTAGATGGTGTAGCAGTACCCCAGTAGTCCATGCCGATATTTAAGTTAGTGGCAGGAGGAACACCAGCCACAGACCCCAGTTGCTGGTGTTGGCATGATAGCAAGATCTTGATTTACCATTGAATGAGGAGTATTCCGTCCTCCATTGTGGGAACCATGATCAGCGCTTCCATTCTCAGATGTTTCAGCTGTAGAAGAGTTATAAAAGTAAGGTTTGTAATAAAAACTTATGAACAAGATAGCGACAGCAGCAGAAGTACAAATTCATAGAAACCCACCTGAATCTTGCAGGCCTCCGGACTTCATCTGTGAGTCCCATACATAACAGAACAAAGATCAGAAAGGAGGAAGAGGTCGGATAAAAAATGTTATTACTTGATGAACATCACTATTTTTATTTTTATTTTTTTAATTTTATTGGTGATGCTAAAGTACTAATGTTTTTTTATGGGGAATGGCCACCTTTATTAATTTTAACAGTTTTCCAGATCATAGATCTTAATCTGTGAAGCTTAAACTCCTGTGGCAATCAAAAAATTCCTTTTTTCCTTCTATTAACATCAGTTCGTTAACAATAAAAAGAGAAACTATCTACATGAAAAAATATTGTTTGTTTGGCATTGGCTTGTTCTCAGGATGTGTTCTAAATGTGCTATATTTTAGTGAATAAGAAACACAGTTGCCTGCAATGCTAATTATGAGGATCAGTATGATAGGAAGCAAGATCTTGGTTAATAGGAAAACGCATATTATCCACACAACTAGTTATAAGAGCACCCCTAAGCATAGAATCCAATATACAGAATACCCAATGGATATGGATATCAGCTCTCCGAAGTTTTTGATAGTAAACATATAAGACTTTGCAACTGTAATCTCAGTAGAACCATTGTTCATTTGTTTCAAGATCAGTGGCCAGAATAGGGTACATTTGAGTATGGGATTCTAAACTTCTGTAGTACAAGGCATAAAATCATGAAATTCATCCCAACTTGTGGCTAGACATAGGTGGATAGACAAAAATGGCCATCATACCAAATTAATTTACAGTAGAAGCTAGCAACACATTCTGTAACACTTACATCTTGAGAACTTGCATCACTTCCTTCACCTGACCCTTCACTAGCAATCTCACCACTGCAAACAGAATTAGAAAATAAATTTCTTAACAACTGAGAGGAAGAGGAAACGAATTAAACACATAACACAAGTACCATGTAGTCTTCATCTTCCTAACAAGTTTGAACAATAAAGGTAATTAGATAGTAGTTACCAACTTACTATTACTTTACACAGCTTCATAAAACTAAGCAAACATAAAGACAATCAAGGAGAAAATCGAGAGAACAATATGGAGGATTGTCAACGAAATACTATAGCAAATGAATTAATTACAAATAAATACCAGCAGTGAAGTAACAATGGCAAAGGGAAAATGTCAAATGAAATACAATAGCAAACCAAATAACCATAAGTAGATCCCAACAGCAAAGTAACAAGAAGTTCCTAAAAGCTCTAAATACCCACAAGAACAAAGCAGGATGCAGCTATGTTTTATTAAAGCATGTTTCCAGTATTCTTGCCAAAAGTAAGAACCTAGCACAAACTATTGTAAGTGTACCTCCATATCCTACTACAATAATGAGATTATTTGTCCCCTAAATTTAGTTGTTCTATAGTTTCATCATACCTCTTACTTCTCAAACTAAATAAATAAATAAATAAATAAA